GGGGGGGGGACGGGGGGGGCACGGGCGGCAGCATCCAGCCCCCAGATGAGGGCACAGGCCAGGCAGAAGTAGACGGGGCGGCTGTAGGCGATCAGCCGGTTGTGGCCCTGCAGGGATGGGGGAGAGCATTTGGGGGGGAGCACATGGACCCCCCTCCCCCCAGTGCTGCCCTACGCAGGCAAAGGGACCCCCCCCCCCGGGGCCATACAGCATGTTTCGGGATCCCCATGGGCCATATAATGTGCACAAGAACCCCCACTTCAGGGCCCCCAAGACAGCCCACATAGCGACCCCCCTCAAACACCGTACAACGCATATAAGAACCCAAAATACTTATAGGGCCCCCCCCGCACCATAAAACAGATATAGACCTCCCTAAATAACCTCTATCGCATACACGTACCCCGCTTGAACCACATACCATGTGCAATAAGACCCCCACGTTCATACTGCATGCACATGGACCCCCCCAAACCATATATTGCCTGTAGACACCCGCCCCCAGGACCACGCAGCATGTGCAAGGACACCCTTAAAACCGTATAACATACACAGCGCTCCCCCCAGAATATCATATAATGTGTGTAGGGTGCCCCCCAGGCTATACAACAGCTCTAAGGACACACCTAAATTCATGTAACACATATAGGGCCCCCCCAAGACCACACACCACATACAGTGAACGCCTAAAATTACCCAGCCCATATCAGCACACCCCCCTCAAGACCTCATAACACATGTAAATACTCCCCAAAAAACAACACAGCACATATAAGCGCACCCCCTGGGCTGCACAGCAGATGTAGGGCCACCCCCAAAGCGATAGAGCCCCCCTAGACCCACATGGCACCTATAGAACCCCCCCCCTCCGATCACTCACGTGCATGGGGGAGGCGGCGTCTGGCTGCACGCTCTGGAAGAGGAGAGAGGATGTGGTGGGGATGGCGGGGACAGCTTGGGAACCCCTTTAGCACCCCAAGGACACCTTTGCCCCCCCCCACCTTGAGCAGGGAGTACTGGCAGCCAGCAATGACGAGGCAGAACTGGAAGAGGCCGAGGTCGCGGAAAAGCCCCCGCAGCAGCAGCCCGTAGCCCAGGAAGGCCACCAAGGCCACCAAGGCCACCGCCAGCACGTTCTCCGGCACCCGGCGGTTCCTGCGAGGTGACGGATTGCGAGGGGGGACACACACACATATGGGACCACCAGGAGTGGGGGGAGCAGATGGGGGACCCTGGTTGTGCTCAGGGAGGACAGGGGATGGCCCTGCGGGTGGGGAGAGGGTGCTTGGAGACGTCCCTGGAGTCACTTGGGGCATCTTGGGGAT